TGCACAGCTGCTTCTTGCAGTGACGGAGCTCTTCAGAGTCCTCTAGGGCTTTCTAGGGTTCTCCTACAGTAATAGAAGACTTCTTAAATAGCATGAACTTAAAATGACCCTGTACTTCTATCGTCGAGCGAAAAATCCAGGTGAAGGAAGTCTCCTGAAGCCAGGAGTTTAGTTTTCCTTTAACTGCCGTAAACAGCAAGGAACGTGAATCTTGATCTCAAAAGTTGTTTTCATATCACGAAGGATCCAACGTTGATGAGGGACACAATGTCTGATATCAGAGAGCCGCTCTTTTCCAAAAAGCATGTTCAGCCACTCGAAGTGTCTGATAAAGAAATGTTTCCTGCGTCATTCCCATGCGTCACATAACTTCACAAACGAACCACACAGTAATCTCAGTAACTAAAGCAAAAAAGGTAAATAAGGTAGAAATACAACTTATACTGTTGGAGCTGCAACTTCAGTTGGCTTTACATTGCGCTGGAGCCTCCAATTTTTCACGCCGTGCTCCTGCCGGCGGCTACCGCACTGCTCGACCCGGCGCTACGACCACCAAGATGTAGCTGGATGTAGCAACAACTACCGTCGCAGCTGGATGTAGCTGTGACCACCAAGATGTAGCTGGGTATAGCTGCGACCGCCGTCGAGGCCGGGTGGCCAGCGCGCACTCGTGTACCACCCGGAGGGGCTGTGGTTCTGGCTGAGTAACTCTCGCACTGAAACAGAATCTAGGTAGTGGCTGTTGTGCACGACACGACGCAGGCTGGTCACGACCGCCAGCCGATCGAAAGCGGAAAGCGACCTTGGTTTAGCGGAAACTTCGCTATCAGTGTAGGAAGGCTAACGGAGCCGTTAGAGGCATGGGAGCGTGAGCCTTACTCCGACGTGCTCTTCGTCGTAGCAGCACACATTTTTCGGGCAGATATCAGACGAGCAGTGTGATAAGGTCGACTGATTTCAGAATTAACAACAACTGATTCAAAGTGCCGGCTAACATATCGTTTGAGCGACACCTACCACAGATCCCCTTATCAAAGGTGCCATAGGAAAGATGGCGCCACTGTACCGGGCGGCTGCTGCCAGCATCGGAGACGATGGCAGCTGGCTATTCGGCTGGCGCTGCTATTCACGCACCACGCGGCGGCAGTGGTTTCAGGAACTCCGGGGCAGTAAAAAAATCCTCAGATTTTTTATTCTCGCCACAGCTTTGTTTCCCTCATACGAAAACACAGATAGAACAAAGTTGATCAAACGACGAGAAGATGTCTAACTAAAATGCTGACAGAATGTTATTGGAGCTGGTTAAATGTTCTGTAAAAAACAAATATATAGATGTTTTCATTCGAAATGCACCAATACCCATTTTGCTATGCGGCGGTCCATATCACAAGCGTCTACAGTTTATTATGCATATGCTGCACGCATGTGCAGTTGAGACGTCCAATGAGTCCGGATAAGCGAAGATTGTATCGCAATGCAAAAGTTTAACTGATGCACGGCTGCATTCTCACGCGCACCAAGATTGTAAATAAATGTGTGCGCTCTTTACAAACGTGGATTATTGTCACATTCCGTTCAACTCGCCAGAGTCAGTGAAGGCCGGCGGCACTTCATGGAAACGGCATAGACCACCCGCCGCCACCTGTTCGATGCCATTACGATCCCTTCGGTCCCCAGCGTGCCCTCTCCTGGCGGGAGCTACTTCGACTCATGTTGTTGGTGATCGTGGTGTGGTGATGGTGAGCGGTAACCGGGTGAAAGATCCTATGACAATATCGCAAGCAAGAGATCATATCACAAGAGATTCCACGGTACAGGTATGGTGCGGGACAGAAAAAGTAATGTAAAAATGTGGTATGGGATAGAGGTAACATCCATGGAGATGGATTGAGAGGATTTGTACTGGGCAAAGGTCACGATGGAAAACAATGTATGGTATAAATATCGCAAGCCAAAAAAGTATTGCGGACGACGTATTGTCTTTACCATGACGAAGATCGTCATGGCAAAGGTTCGTAAGGGGACAAATATTGCAGAGCATTTCATGTCAGCAACTTAGATTCCCAGGCGCGACTTAACAGGAACATACTTGCAGCAAGCACCGGATCTACAAACGACAGCGCCTACGCCCCCATCATCAGAGCAAAACTGAACGGGCGCCTGGCCGGAGACGAGCGTCGCTAGGATATGTATGCCACCAGGCCGAAGCGTTCAGACCTAAGCTCGACACCCGCGCTCCCGAGACAGCCGCCCAGGCCGTGGCAAAACCCTGCCAGGAATTCTCGGCATGCATGCAGGATTGTAAAGGTTTCTTTCCCCGACACGGGAGTGCCGAATAGCAAACTTTGTTACGCGGTCCAATGTTGGATTTACAGAATAATGCCAAGTCCGGCTCGATGGTGGTCCATAACCCTAGGCAGGGAAATGGTTTCGCAGAATGACTTCGGAAGGGGGTGGGGCTGAGAAGATGAAAACAGATAAGCCGATCTCCACAATATGCCAAAATACAGACGGGTTCCTCCCCGAATTCAGCCAAACTTTTTCTCAAATTAAGGGGGATTGGAGCCCCCCACTGAATAGGAAACTACACATCCGGTCCAGGATCGATGATGTATTGTGAGCAGTTTAACGAAATCAGAGCAGAAGATATCATCCAGATTCCGGTCACTTCGCGCAAGTTGAGCGGGGAGAGGGAGGTCTCCAACACCCACAACTGCACATACGTCGAATGCTGCTGCTTTTCCAGACTTTCATTCATTATCTCCTTAACAGAGTTCAAGGTGTCAGGTCATATAGCGGCGAAACGTCACGCATTACGTGCGTAACGTGTTCCACCATCGCGGCTGACGGTGTGACGCTAGGTCGGCAGACACGTCCGTACCTGTTTCTCGCAGTCGTCGGGAAACCTAAATCAATCACCGCCGGCCGGCCCTCTTCATCCATCGCCGGCAAGGCTACGCATCCGGAATACTGCCGTTCGGCCCCGGGTCTGCCCATGTGTTCCCACGCCTCCTAACCCACGGCGCTATGAAGGGCGACACCTCAGAACTCCAGAACCAGAATACAGAACAGAGCAGAACTCAGAACTCAAAACAGAACTCAAAACACCTCATAACAGAACATTTCATCAAACCTCGCCCGACTGCGCCACAGGTGAGTCCTATTTTACCCCTTAAAATAGGACTCACCTCTACATAGAATCCACCGAAGCAACAAGCACCTTGATCCACCGCCAACCAAATCCACCAATTCTGCCGTCTTCATGCAGGCGTCATGCACGCCGCCGGTGCTGCGGCTCGTTTGTCGCCCCGGCTGTCGAGCGCAGCGCCCCCAAACACAAACACAAACACGAACAGTCGCGACGTGTATTCTACCGAAGTCGTACAAAATAATGTCATACCGCTGCCACCGTCGAGCGGGAGGCTATCAACTATGACAGAAAGCCAACAGTCCTTGTCTACAAGGGCCTGTCGAGGCCCCTCCACCACTTCGTCGCCAGACCTACGGAGAGGTTACTCCAGTGTCATGGGAGACGGCACACAGCCCGGGCTGCCAATAATCCATGCCGACAATGCCGCCCATCCTGCACCCATCAAAGCCACTACAAAGGTTCTCGGTGCTCGAGAGACGGTTACATAATCTCTTCGCCACCACAGGGGCAAGATCTGCGGTCGCTGCTGGTGTCAGCAACGGTGAGTTGTGAGCACGCAGGACGCCCCGTCACTGTCCTGATCGGTGAGCGACACTGCGAACTCTGTATCCCAGCTCAACCACGAAAAGACAAGAGAAAATTCAGAAAGAGGCGCACTTTTCACGTCCCTTGTCATGAGGTCAACAGTGGACGCCTGAGGCGGACGGTATAACCCGCAATGTGCAGCCTAAGCGCGAAGAAACTGACTCCGTTCATAACAATGGCTTAAATGAAACCAATAGTAGCTTACTACTTATTGTGCATGAATTCATACAGCTTAATGCGGATTGTAGATATGCAGTAAGATGACGTAGTCACGAACAGGCAAACGTCGATATGCAACAAAAAAGCAGATATGCAGCATACAGCGTACCAACCGTACTACGGACCGGAGTTTCTATTGCATGAGAGCGTGCCTCGAGGGCTGGACACCTGTTGTCAGCGTAGAAACACATCCAGTTAAACTGAGAGCCTGAGAGCAAACTACGGCTCGAGCAAGCACTAGCCCCGAATGCTGAGCCAAACAACCCAAGTGGCAAGAGTTAACAACAGCCAATGTATAACAGATTTGATCGCTTGGAAACTGTGCGAAGCCCCTGCGGAGCCGCTACGCGTACAGCAAGGTGGAATGTCCCGTTATCTCACGTCCAAACTCGCAGTCCGGTCTTGGCGGAAAGCGCCAGGGCGCCACGTCCGCAGACCTCGCGGCCGAGCCTGGCCCGGCGCGGCCGAGCCCCGCCCGACGCGGCCGAGCCCGGCCCGCGTGGCCGAGCCCGGCCCGGCGCGCCCAAGCCTCGCCCGGGGCGGCCGGCCGTCGGCCCTCTTTCGGGCCGCCTCAGATCTCGGTGGGCGTCAGTTCGCTGCTCTGGCTGTCGATGCTGGCGTCCTCAGTGGCCAGCTCGGCGTCGGCGTCGGCGTCGGCGTCGGCGTCGGCGTCGACGTCAGCGTCCGGCGCCGTGCCGTCCGACATGCCCGAGTCGGCGCCACTCTCGCGGCCATCGGCCTCACCCAGCGCCGCCTCCAGCTGGCGACCGAACGCCGCGTCCGCCGCCACCAGGCGCGCGCGCAGCTGGTCGCGCTGCTCGGCCGTCCACGCGTCGCTCCACTCTGGAAGAGCTTCACCTGGCACTGGAAGATGGATGGCGGCCGCCCAGCCGCTCCAAGCCGCCGATCAGACCGTTGACGTAGAGACGTGGTTGTAGCTTCTGCGCCAGCGCCGGCGCGAAGTCCTCGCGCTGCAGGCTGCTCCAGGTGGAGAACCAGTTGGTGACGAAGCTCAACTGCTCTGGCTGGCTGTAGTGGCGGCCGAGTGTGACGTCATCGTGTCGTGCGCGCGCGGAACTGCGGCATAAACTGCGCGTCGGCGATGTCCAGCAGCTGGAGCAGCCGGTTGCGGGCGGTGTCGCTCCACTGGCTGAACCAGTGTGCTAGCAGGCGTAGCTGGCACTGGAACGTGGAGTGCTCAGAGGAGACTCCGAGCTGGCTGACACCCTGGAGGTACAACAAAACTGCCATACATTGCTCCATGGCAATACACAACCAAAGAATGATAGATAGCTTGCTGCATGACACTTGAAAGTTATATCTGGCAGCTATTTTGTTACAACAATGGTGGATTTAACATAATTCTTAAATATAGTTCTGTAACACAGTTTACCAAGGTTAGGTGTGAAACCAAACAAAATAAATGACACGTGACATGCATGTTTGACAATGTTTTTTATTATGATGATGGTGGACTTGGATTACTTCCAGCACCATCATCATTTTATTGTCCTTCAGATAACCTGCACAAGTTGTGTTTCTTAATCACATGCCACCTGCCTTCTGCAACAAGCAGTGTTTGTCAGATGACTTCTGTCTGCTCTGACCTGAAGGAGAGAATCAACACTGTCTGGGACAGCCTGAAGCACGAGAAAATCCAGCAGCTGCTGTCGACACTCGGGGCTCCAGGCCTTGTACCAGCAGACCACACACTGGATTTGCTCTTCTGCCTGCACCATTCAGTGCTGCCAAATCATGTAGGTTTAGACACAGGGCAGATAAAATGACAAACAACTTACCTGCACACTACAGCACAGATAAGTCATAACAAATGAACTTATGATGAGTGCAAGCTTTTGAGGGCCCAACCAGATAAATAAATGTGGACCATAGATCCCAAGGTTAGGAAAGACCTCAAAACTGAAAGGATCATTTTTGCTAGGATACTGATTTGTGACACTCAGGATGATCATTATCTAAGCACATATGATCTTCAGTCACCCCAGCACAGCAACTTAACTAAGCAGAAATATCCTAATTGCTTGGGCAACTGGCTTCACAGCTTACTTTAAAAGTTACAAGACCACCTTATACAGGGGAAGACTGTATAAGGTGGGCTTGTGACCCAACACTAAGATGCAGACATTGAATAACATGGGCTGAAAAAACATTTTGAGTGAAATATGTATATATCCACAATATTTTCCCATTTCATATGATTTGTCCCAAACAATCTTACTCAGAAATTGCTGCTAATACTTAACCCTCTACAGGTTGACAATAGTACTTAGTCTAATGGCAGTGTAGAAGTACTTTCAAACACCTATGGCTGTTTTTGAAGTAGTGCTTGTCCTAACCAGAAATGTCCTGTGTCATCCTGTATATCATCCTGTGCATCAGGGTGCCAGTCAAGACCAAATTTTTAAGACTTGCTAGGGACACCAGTGCTTTGACCTCATATGCAGATGGGAACACACAGTGGATACAAGGAGAATGATAACCTTGAACCGAAATTACAGTGAGCTGCAACCCCAGACAGCACACAGCACATGCGTACTGCCAAAACTGGAGAATCAAATAAGGTATTTTAGGGAATTTATTGGCTCATGCTTCAGGCATCCAACATGTGAGCAGCATTACACCTGCAAGCCGGATAGTTGGGCTATTGTTTTCTCACGTGCACCTTGGAGTCCCACCTGATGCGATAAGTGTGGAATATCAATACGCGCTACCCAACAAACAGAACACCCAATAAAGGGGCCCAATGACAGCTAGCGGAGAGCAATTAGAACACGATACCAGAGGCAGTGCCCCACACATGCATATCGAGGGTACTAACACACCAGGGTTAGGAATGCGACGCCGGGGGGCCGCCACCTCGTCGCGCCCGCACGTACGCGGCAACAAGCACATTCGTTGACATGACGAGGCGGCTTGTAATACGAACAAAGCGCTTTTGAGACGATACTCGCAATCAAACATCAGGCTAGCATATTATGTACGCGTTGCATCATAGGGCACGCTAGGGTGCTGCACACAAGTTACAGCAGCTAAACGACCATTAAGAAACAGATTTTCTGCATTTTCTTTTGCGTCCCTTCATTTTTTCATGCCATCGCTGTAACATCCTGCTGGCGCTTGTCCCCTTCCCCCGATCCACGTGAAAACACCGAGGAAATTGGTCATGATAAAAGTGTCAAAACGGATACTTTCGATGACAAAATATTAAATCACCGTAACTATGATAACAGCCATGAGTTTGTTAACCCCCTTTCCGTAAAGTATCCTACATCCACGCTCACCAATCACGAAACGTTTCGAAAGATTCGTCTCGCTCTGATGCAGCAGTCTGTGCATTATCGACAAAATTGGTAGCATTACTTTACAAAAATATCAAAAATTAGGGCTTGGGTAATTCAACCTGATATGCCCATTTTAATCACTTAAGCTCGATCTTTATTTCTGGCATAAATCGGTCCCAACCTTTTTGTTCGATAGTGCCTACTTGGTCCTCTATCACAAAATGGCGCACGGCTGCTGCCGCAGCTATTAGTGTTATTGTTGTCTCGTATTGGTGGCGCAGCGCGGACAGTGGGTGTTCTTGGAAACAGGATGTGCTGGAGGCTTTGTTTCGAGTCGCTGTGTGGTGACCAGTGCCGCTGATATATCTGTTTTCTTGCTGAATATTAAGGCGAAGAAGATGTCGTCTAGTTCTACGAAATTATTTAGGGGAAGTGTGCGCAGATCCAAAAGGAGATCAGCGAAGCGCCCCCGAACCGTGAACGAAGGTGAGATGGGGAATATGACGAATAACAGCTTTTGATTGTTTGGAGATCACATTCAGGAGCACTTATTGCTGAAAAACACTTGTGACTTGCTCAACATGATGGGAAAAAAACTGCATGCATCTAAGTTAAATGACTCAAGGCCTTTTGTTTGCAGACAATGCTGACCTAGTTAAAGTTGGCACAGCAAGTTTTTGAGACCATCGCGCTTGTTGTTGTCTACTTGTTGGCCATTTTTCTTTATTTTCTGGTATAGTTTTGTGGAAATTTATGAGATCTTGGCAAAGATAGGTGGGCAAATATTATACTTCCCAGTGCATCATTTTTTATGCATTCCACGGGCTTGAGTATGCAGAATAATGTTTCAACAGTTGAACCATGCATCTTTATCAGCTATGTAAGGAACATAAGATTGTTTCACAATTTACAACAAGTGCCCTACTTCTGATAATTCAAAATATGGTCAGACATTTTGTGGGAATACAGAGGCCCGTGCTCTGCAAACCATGGCAAGCATGCCAATGAGATGTTTGGGGCAGAGAGAATCCTGTCCTGTAAGAGGGGCTGCATAAGTTGCCACACTTGGACAGATTTGTCAGCCTCACCTTTAAAAAAATAATCACTCAAATTTGGTCAGTTTTGGTTATTTTATCAATTTTATGGGTCTTGAATCAATGTATGGTGCTCTCAAGACTCTGATTGAATCATATCTGCCACAAAAAAATTTGATGAAATTGCCCAACATAGAAGCTATAACCCAGCTATGCCCTGACAAGATGTGATCAAAATTTTCCATGGTCTGCAGCCTGGCTGAGACCCACACATATATGATTAGCAAGCATGCCCTCATTAATTCACTTTTTTGTGCAGAGACATGTTTTTAAGATACTTTTTAGTATGTCTTGTCATAGGTTTATCTTCATAGGAACAGTGGTAGAGTTAGCAGTTACAGACCTGCATATTGTAGAGTCTGGACCTCTAAAAGTGGAGCCTTGCTGCTGTAATGGACCCAAGTAAAACTTTGGCATCAAATTGACCCCACAAGATGTACACCTTTATCCAGCTGTGATGCTTTCTGTAGAGGCCAGGACTGTAATTGGATCCATGATTCCGACTGGCTTCAGCACTTGGAATTGGATAACATGCACTTGTTATCTTGCAATGCTTGTTATCTTATTATCTTGTTATCTTAATAGCATGCAATGCTTGTGTGCACCTGTCTCAATATGTGAGATGACTGCCTCATGTTGAGTTATACTCAGGCTATTTCTGTCATGTAAAAGCAAAAGGCCGAAGCTCTATTTTGGGCGATAAGTTAATTATCCAATTTGAAACAGTTTCCAGGACCACATATTGTCAATAAGGACATGAGTCAAAAAATCTAGATTAGATGATCCAGTGTCTATTTATGAGTGTCACAAGGTGTGATGTCAAAGGAATTGTAATGTGTAGATAATAGATAAACTGGGTAGGCTTACTTTTTGTAAGAAGTTAACCAAAAATACTTTCATTGTCTCTTAAAATGTTTTTGGCTATAATTGTAGAAAAACATCAAGTAATCATAATGGCAATCCTTTGGGGCATAGTGACTGAATGGTTTGAGTGTTTACTCCTGCATTAGGGCCAACTGGATGGTTTGAGTGTTAACCAAAAATTTAGCCAAAAACCAAAGTTAACCAATGTTTACCAAAAATACTTTCATTGTCTCTTAAAATATTTTTGGCTGTAATTGTAGAGAAACATCAAGTAATCATAATGGCAATCCTTTGGGGCATAATGACTGAATGGTTTGAGTGTTGACTCCTGCATTAGGGCCAACTGAATGGTTTGAGTGTTGACTCCTGCATTAGGGCCGACTGAATGGTCTGAGTGTTGACTCCTGCATTGTGGCCCTGGATGAAATCCAATGGCCTATGGGTGACATTATGGCCACTGGAGTTGCTAGCACTTAATAAAAGAGAAGTGACAATATATATCACACACCCTTTTTAAAGGCCATCCTTTGTGTTGTCATAGTGGTCATAACTCTGTTATTTCTTTTGATGTTTTCAAAGAACTTATATATGGAGAGAACCATGCATATGTAGAGAGAGGGAGAGATGTACTCATTATTAATGGTCAGCTATCAGCTGTATGTTTGTGGGGAAAGCAGACCCCACCCCTCCCAGTTGTCAAAGATCCTTCCCAGTCATTGAATGTTGACTCACTGGTGGAAGGCATGGTAGCATGCATGAGTGGCATGAAGATGGAGGGGCTGTTGAAGTACTAGCGCATACCTGATGTAGCTGCATGTCTGATAAACCAGGGGTACAATTTGTTGTGCCCAGCAGTGATGGCTCTTCCTGCCATGGTAAGAGAGCAGGTAACATCCCATAGCTTCACCAGCTGAGGGTGTCATAAAGCTCCAATGGCACACTGACACTTTTACCAATAGTTTCATAAATTAAGAGGGGACAATATCATCCAGATCCTCACACACCTGGCCATCAGGCTTGCCTCCCCAGTGGCAGTGCCTGGAAACATGATGTGCCTGCTAATCTGAATGTTGCATAGCCCATGATGGGCCACTTTCCCATGGCATGTTCACTTCATGCTAAATGGTGGCATTTCAGATTGTTATAATATGTATGATGGGACTAGATTTCAAGGAAAATGACATGGGTGTGTTGCTAGGAACTTTGCTGGTTGCAGTCATTGGTTTTTCATCTCCCCATCACACAACATGTTTGTGCTGTTACATTGAAGATAATGCTGGAATATTGGCTCAAGCTTCCTTCTGCCTGCTCAGTTTTCTGAAGACTGTTGGCAAAAGTTTTTGGGGGGGCTTTCACTGATCAAGTGAGTGGCAGATTGTTGGGGGGTAAAGGGGCAGATGAGATGGTCTCCCTATTCAAAACTTTGGCAAAATGCAACACTCATGATGAAGCATTGTACCAAAGCTAACTTAAAAACCAAGGTAGATACCCAGCTGTGGTTAGAACTGTGGCCACTGGACCCATTAATGGATCACTTTGTGTCAGTCTTCTGGTGCGCCTTGGTTGGCATGGTTGCTGCCCTCTTCAGGGTGAGTGGGGCTGGCCATTATCATCTCTTTATTGGGTATCATTGACTGTAATGGGCAGTGCCACATTAACATGTAGAGGGCACACCTTCAGTCAGGTACCAAGTCAGTGTTTTCCACATGACGGGAGAAATCCCCATCTGAACATGTGGACGCCGCCATATGGTGTCAGCAAAATTGCATTAATGTGCCATGGAAATTGCTACTGCTCTGTGTGGAAGTTCCACCTCTGGCATTGCATGCTAGGATGTTTAAGAGGGAGTGTTCCTTTCTTTTAGATTTTGAAGCAAGCATCAGATATGATGAAATAAGCCACCTATGACTAATGGTATAAGTTGATGCGGAAAAGACTATCTACTTGCTACATCAAACGCTGCATGGTGTATGGGATAGCGGGATTTGAATGGTATTGCTTAAGTGGCATGCATGCCTGCAGGGCTTTGAGGTATGCCACACATTTTTGTGGGTGTGTAGCTCTGAAACTAAAGGGTTTGAGGTATTAAAAAGGCAAGGGTTATGAACAGCACTGCATGATCTCCAAATTGGCCTGTTGGATCCAAACCCATGCAAATGTGGAGCAATCCCTTCAAAAACTGCTGAAATTGACTTATGTAATTTCTGCTAGTTTGGCAGGCATGCAACTTTTATACTAAATGCTGTATATTCCTGATTTAAGCAAGGAAGTCCTTATGCTAAGGTTTTTTTAAGCATGAGTTTGTACAGTAAAAAACTGTCATTCAATGCACCAGGTATTGGTTGCTGTACACAAGGGCCTGGGTGTTTTCACTGATGTTCTTGGCATGTGTGCTTCTACCCTTGTGGTTAGTGTGGCCTGTGGATATGGTTTGGCTCTGCTACCAGTTTCAAGCAGCCTTTACCACAGTATTGTGTTTTGGGATATTGAAGCTTGCATGATATTTTTGGCACCATTGTATTGGCAGAGTGTGCACAGATTGCAAATCTTTATTCCCTTTCATGCACCTTAGTCCTAATCTTAATTTGTGTTTAAGATTTTCACTGATGAGGATGAACACTGCCTTGCGGTTTTGAGT